TGACCAAGGGAGGAGGTGGAGATGGAGAAGAGTAGAGTATAATCCACCCATCCCCTTGGGACTATATTCCATTACAATACATTACTTCCATTAACACTGCTCTGAATTGCATACAGAGTTGCTTTTGAAATTAACATATTATTCATAACACAAATCTAATTTCCTTATTCTCAATACATAACTTCATATATTATATCACCGTATCATCCCTTAAATATCTAGTCAGAGCAGGCTTGATGGCTAGAGTTCAAGGAACTCTTCTGCAGCGCAGAGCACTTAGGAAATCAGCCATTTGTACAACATTAAAAAATAATGTAAATTACTTTTTAGAAATGTATGAAAATGATGTCTATATAATAATACCACCACTCTTAAATGTACAATGAGGTTTTCCCTCTAAATCATATAAATTCAAAATATACCACCCGAGTTTTGAATATCCCTTATCTGAAAAAGGATAGATACTCTCGACCTGAGTAAATGTGTGTAATCGCTAGGTGTGTTTAGCACTTGGACGTTCTTTCATTCCGCTATCCATAATAAATTAATTTCCTGGCAAATGGAAAGAATAAACACCTGGGCACTAAGTGCCTAAACTTGATTGCAAACCAAGGTTTTCCATGCATTTTTCAGCCTAGGTTCACACATATGCAGTGCGGTATGCCGCATGTGATTCGCACAGGAACCGCACTGCATTCCTGTGCAAATCACATGCAAATTGTTTGCGGAGTGATTGGAGCCATACATTTTGTATGGCTCAAATCACACCGCATCAGCACCAAAAAAGTGCAGGACCCTTTTTTTGGTCCACACTAGAATCGGATCGCATGGGTATTCACACCTGCGATCCAATTCTGCACATCGCACCGTGTTTTGCGAACCAATTTCGGGGTGTTGCTAACTTAACATACACACCCGCAGCGGTTTGCATGAACGGGGTGCAATTGCGATGCAATGCGGAATTCACACAGAAAACGCTGCAAATTCAGCACCACATCAGTGTGAACCCATAAATCAGCTGCTTTTGTCTCCCGTGGAGAAAAGGTGTCCAGGGGAGGAAAAAAAATGATCAATGTGCATGAGGCCTAAGTGCGAAGATCCAGGGGGTGGCTTCAGGAGCAGGAGAAGGTAAGTGTACAGAAGCACTATTTAACTACAAGCCTACAGGGCACTTATATCCCCTTCCTGCCCAGGCCAATTTCCAGCTTTCAGTGCTGTCACACTTCGAATGACAATTGCGCAGTCATGCAACACTGTACCCATATGAAATTTTTATAATTTTTTTGTGACAGATAGAGCTTTATTTTGGTGGTATTTAATCAACTCTGGGTTTTTTATTTTTTTCTTGAACAAACCAAAAACCACAGAAAATTTCGGGAAAAAAAAACGATTTTTCTTAGTTTTTGCTATAAAATTTTATAAATAAGTGACAGCTCGAGAGGAGAGAAATGCCGATAACCGGCATTTCCCTATTTACATGTGATCAGCTGTGATTGGACACAGCTGATCACATGACCGAGCCGACATCTTCAGCTCTTTCCGTGATCGGTGATCCACTGTGTCCGAGGGACACAGCGCACCGCTGATCACCGCGCTGCGCACTTCCTGAGCCGCGCATGCGTGGTGAGAATGGGAGGACGTCATATGATGTCCTCCCAGAACGAGAGAACCACCTCATATTACTATATGGCGGGCGGGAGGTGGTTAAAAGTTTCATCTCCTGTTCCATGTTTCCATTTGACAGAAACAATTGAGTACTGTCCGTGATACTTTTTTTATTTGCACTAACATACAATTTTCAGGACAAGCTTTCAGGGTATGTCCCCTTCTTCAAGGTCCAAGCAGTATAAAGTTTTTGCAGAACGTTAGAAGAAACAATCTCTGAGGGAACCAGAAAAAAGCACATACAAACAAATGTACACAGCAATGGTTATAAAACTAGGATTAGATAAGACAGAGCAAAAGCAAAAACTGGGGGGGGGGGGGGGTGTTGGGACCACAGTCACAGAGGGGGTCATAAAACTGTTGGATAATGAGTGAGGAATTCCATTGCTAAATTGAGGCCATTATCTTTTGTATCAAATGGAAATATCATTCTTAGTTCAAACGTTTTCCTTTCCTGGATAGTTCTGAAGTTCCCTTTAAGAACTAAGGTATTGAGGTCTTCCATAGTGTGGTCTGGTTTGTGCGAAATGGTGTCCCACAGGTGTGCAGAGGTCATCTTCTTTATGTTTCTTGATGGTATGTCTGTGCAAATTCATCCTTGCTCGCAACTTCTGTCCTGTTTCGCCAATGTAAGATCCTTTGTTACATTTTCAGCACTTGATAAGGTACACATTACTAAAGGTGCAGCTGTATGATCCGGAGATATTGAAGATCCCTTTTGCGTGTGTGACATTTTTGGATTAATATGGTTGCACAGTTTGCAGCATTTTTTATTGCAGGGTTTGCTTGAGTTATTTGTGTCATCATAATCAGCAGATTAATATTCAGAATTATATTTCCAACCCAGGAGGGAAGAGACTGCTTTTTTCCCTTTCCTATGTGTTAACATAGTCAAGTAAGACCTTGTTTGGCTCGGCATGAAATGACCTATTCAAATATATACCTAATATTTAAAACGAGAAATATATGCGAGCGCAAAATATAAACAGCAGCTGGCATGAAAGGTAAACCTCTAGACCTTCAAATAATACAGTATAATATAAATGCAGCGCTAAAAATGAAAAGAAACAATAATAATGAACGGTACAGGGTGAGCGCTAATGCAGTGCTTATAAAGTGGTATCATGATAAATCATCTCTTAATCACGTATTAAAAGAGTATATATAAAATCAATATATAAAGTGACTGTAGTGCATCATATGAAAAAAAATTGCAAATCAAGTCCAGAAAAAATAGGTGATCCGTGCTTCGTGCTGGTGACCTTATATAGTGAGGGCCAGTCATATGAATGCACTCACCAGAAGCGCACAAGATATGCACATGTGTATAAGCATCCAACAGTGGTCATCAAGATCTGGGCAGGGGCTGCGGGGTCATCAGACACACTCTAGGCACACAGGGTAACACCACTCCCTCACAAGATGTCAGGAATGGACTGGCCAGCAATAGTGGGACTCACCTGCCTTGTGAGCTGCAGTACCAGGGCTGGCCAGCGGGTGCTCCCAGCAATCAGAGACTCAACCTTGCAGCCAGTCAAACACCTGGAACTAATTATACTGGTGTATTTAAGGGACATTCAGACCTGCAGACTCTGCCTTGGTGTTGTGTTTTTCCTGGGCCCTGTATCTTGTTCCTGCATCCTGCTCCTGGTCCTGTTCCTGTCTTGTTACTGACCCGGCTTGATTCTGACCTTTGCTGACTTCTCCTGTTCTGATCCCTGGCTTGTGACCCCGACCATTCTCTGCCTGACCCCCTGTACCTACCTGCCTGTTAGTTGCTGTACCCTGCTCGTGACCTGACTATTCTCCGCTTGCTCCCCTGTACCTACCTGCCCGATTGATATTGACCCGGCCTGCCTGACGACGCTTGCACTGTATGTACTGTTATCTGTGGGTGGTTTGGTTTGGTTCGTTTGCACTGTGTTATGTTTTAGTATTGCACTGCGTTTATGTTTGTATTGTTAGTGTTAATAAATTGTTTATAACTTATCTGAAGTCTGCGTTTCCCTGCGTCAGTCACACACCTCTGGTCATACCCGGGAGCCCTGACATTACACCAAGGCCAATCCTGACCAGAAGTGGCTGCACAGGGACGCCATCTTGGTTTGTTGATGGGAAGGATGGATCTGGATGAGGTTGCGTATTTATATCTGCTAGTGTTTGATGACAGGGAGTATGCTTATCAAACTCTGAAGGAGTATACCCGGGATGAACTGCTAGAATGTATACGGCTCGCTCATGTTCTAGTAGATCAGGGCACAGAGTTCTCTGAGGTGCAGCCATTGAGGTTTGTGCGGAGTTTGGTTTCATCTGGTACCCCCGAATGCAGGGATGAATTTTTGCCACCATTTAGTGCAGACCAGGTAGAGTCCCTGGTATGGTTATTAGAGGATGATGTGGATTGCTTTCTGGAGCGTTATTCCACATGTTCACCACAGGTACTAAGAGATTGTATAAACGCAGTGCAGTCTTTGGTCAGACAGGCTTTGTGTAAGCTCAGCTTTGTTCAACCCATACTGCAGACATGGACAGATTTGTTACACCCAGCCTCAGTCAGCTTACAAAGACCCAGTCCTGCTTCTAATCTATCTCCTCAAAGCTCTACTCCTGTATTCCCAACAGCTCCTCCAGTTACAGCCCAGTATACTTGGCTATCTACCGCATGTCAGTACCCTGTTCCCACTCGCTGCACCTATCCTGCCTTTAACCCTGTAAAGAAGCCCTCTGTAGCGACTCTTCCCCTGTTCCATCCTCCAGCTCTTCTCTGTCTCCAGCTGCTCCATTCATTTGCAGACCTGCGTTTACTTGCAGTGCCCCAGTAGTTAAAACCAGAAAAAAGCGAAAATTCTTTCCAACCAATACCATCCTGCCAGTATCCAAACCGGTGAGCCTGCCGTCTGAGAACCTGCCTTCCGTGGTTCAGCCTGATGCCTCTCTTCAGCCTGATGCCTTTCTTCAGCCTGATGCCTGTACTCAGCCTGATGCCTGTACTCAGCCTGATGCCTCTCTTCAGCCTGATGCCTTACTCAGCCTGATGCCTCTACTCAGCCTGATGCCTCTACTCAGCCTGAAGCCTCTACTCAGCCTGAAGCCTCTACTCAGCCGGATGCCTCTACTCAGCCGGATGCCTCTCTTCAGCCTGATGCCTCTCTTCAGCCTGATGCCTCCACTCAGCCTGATGCCTCCACTCAGCCTGATGCCTCCACTCAGCCTGAAGCCTCCACTCAGCCTGAAGCCTCCACTCAGCCTGAAGCCTCCACTCAGCCTGAAGCCTCTACTCAGCCGGATGCTTCTACCCAGCATAATGAACTGATCCAGCCTGATGATCCTATTAGGCCAGTTGACTCGATGCCCGCTGTTGATCCAGATGATCCGGTACCTGATCCGGTGCCCGCTGTCGTGCCAATTGACTCAGAGCCCGCTGTCGTACCTGGTGACTCGGTGCCCACTGCCTTGCCAGATGACGCGGTGCCCGCTGGCGAGCCAAATGACCTGATGCCTGGTGACCCAGTGCCCGCTGTCATACCTGGTGACCCGATGCCCGCTGTCGAGCCAGACGATCCAATGCCAGGTGACTCGGTGCCCGCAGTCTTGCCAGACGACTCAGTGCCCGCAGTCTTGCCAGACGACTCGGTGCCCGCTGTTCCGCCAGTTGACTCGATGCCCGCTGTTCCGCCAGTTGACTCGATGCCCGCTGTTCCGCCAGACGACTCACTGCCCGCTGTTCCGCCAGTTGACTCGATGCCCGCTGTTCCGCCAGTTGACTCGATGCCGCTGCTGTCCGCCAGACGACTCGGTGCTCGCAGTCTTGCCAGACGACTCGGTGCCCGCAGTCTTGCCAGACGACTCGGTGCCCGCTGTTCCGCCAGTTGACTAGATGCCCGCTGTTCCGCCAGATGACTCGGTGCCCGCAGTCTTGCCAGACGACTCGGTGCCCGCAGTCTTGCCAGACGACTCGATGCCCGCAGTCTTGCCAGACGACTCGTGCCCGCAGTCTTGCCAGACGACTCGGTGCCCGCAGTCTTGCCAGACGACTCAGTGCCCGCAGTTCCGCCAGTTGACTCGATGCCCGCTGTTCCGCCAGACGACTCGGTGCCCGCAGTCTTGCCAGACGACTCGGTGCCCGCAGTCTTGCCAGACGACTCGGTGCCCGCAGTCTTGCCAGACGACTCGGTGCCCGCTGTTCCGCCAGTTGACTCGATGCCCGCTGTTCCGCCAGTTGACTCGATGCCCGCTGTTCCGCCAGTTGACTCGATGCCCGCAGTCTTGCCAGACAACTCGGTGCCCGCAGTCTTGCCAGACGACTCGGTGCCCGCAGTCTTGCCAGATGACTCGGTGCCCGCAGTCTTGCCAGACGACTCGGTGCCCGCAGTCTTGCCAGACGACTCGGTGCCCGCAGTCTTGCCAGACGACTCGGTGCCCGCAGTCTTGCCAGAGGACTCGGTGCCCGCTGTTCTGCCAGTTGACTCGATGCCCGCTGTTTCGCCAGACGACTCGGTGCCCGCAGTTTTGCCAGACGACTCGGTGCTCGCAGTCTTGCCAGACGACTCGGTGCCCGCAGTCTTGCCAGACGACTCGGTGCCCGCTGTTCCGCCAGTTGACTAGATGCCCGCTGTTCCGCCAGATGACTCGGTGCCCGCAGTCTTGCCAGACGACTCGGTGCCCGCAGTCTTGCCAGACGACTCGATGCCCGCAGTCTTGCCAGACGACTCGTGCCCGCAGTCTTGCCAGACGACTCGGTGCCCGCAGTCTTGCCAGACGACTCAGTGCCCGCAGTTCCGCCAGTTGACTCGATGCCCGCTGTTCCGCCAGACGACTCGGTGCCCGCAGTCTTGCCAGACGACTCGGTGCCCGCAGTCTTGCCAGACGACTCGGTGCCCGCAGTCTTGCCAGACGACTCGGTGCCCGCTGTTCCGCCAGTTGACTCGATGCCCGCTGTTCCGCCAGTTGACTCGATGCCCGCTGTTCCGCCAGTTGACTCGATGCCCGCAGTCTTGCCAGACAACTCGGTGCCCGCAGTCTTGCCAGACGACTCGGTGCCCGCAGTCTTGCCAGATGACTCGGTGCCCACAGTCTTGCCAGACGACTCGGTGCCCGCAGTCTTGCCAGACGACTCGGTGCCCGCAGTCTTGCCAGAGGACTCGGTGCCCGCTGTTCTGCCAGTTGACTCGATGCCCGCTGTTTCGCCAGACGACTCGGTGCCCGCAGTTTTGCCAGACGACTCGGTGCCCGCAGTCTTGCCAGACGACTCGGTGCCCGCAGTCTTGCCAGACGACTCGGTGCCCGCTGTTCCGCCAGTTGACTAGATGCCCGCTGTTCCGCCAGACGACTCGGTGCCCGCAGTCTTGCCAGACGACTCGGTGCCCGCAGTCTTGCCAGACGACTCGATGCCCGCAGTCTTGCCAGACGACTCGGTGCCCGCAGTCTTGCCAGATGACTCGGTGCCCGCAGTCTTGCCAGACGACTCGGTGCCCGCAGTTCCGCCAGTTGACTCGATGCCCGCTGTTTCCGCCAGACGACTCGGTGCCCGCAGTCTTGCCAGACGACTCGGTGCCCGCAGTCTTGCCAGACGACTCGCTGCCCGCAGTCTTGCCAGACGACTCGGTGCCCGCAGTCTTGCCAGACGACGCGGTGCCCGCTGTTCCGCCAGTTGACTCGATGCCCGCTGTTCCGCCAGTTGACTCGATGCCCGCTGTTCCGCCAGACGACTCGGTGCCCGCAGTCTTGCCAGACGACTCGGTGCCCGCAGTCTTGCCAGACGACTCGGTGCCCGCTGTTCCGCCAGTTGACTAGATGCCCGCTGTTCCGCCAGACGACTCGGTGCCTGCAGTCTTGCCAGACGACTTGGTGCCCGCAGTCTTGCCAGACGACTCGATGCCCGCAGTCTTGCCAGACGACTCGGTGCCCGCAGTCTTGCCAGACGACTCGGTGCCCGCAGTCTTGCCAGACGACTCGGTGCCCGCAGTTCCGCCAGTTGACTCGATGCCCGCTGTTCCGCCAGATGACTCGGTGCCCGCAGTCTTGCCAGACGACTCGGTGCCCGCAGTTCCGCCAGTTGACTCGATGCCCGCTGTTTCGGCCAGACGACTCGGTGCCCGCAGTCTTGCCAGACGACTCGGTGCCCGCAGTCTTGCCAGACGACTCGGTGCCCGCAGTCTTGCCAGACGACTCGGTGCCCGCAGTCTTGCCAGACGACTCGGTGCCCGCTGTTCCGCCAGTTGACTCGATGCCCGCTGTTCCGCCAGACGACTCGGTGCCCGCAGTCTTGCCAGACGACTCGGTGCCCGCAGTTCCGCCAGTTGACTCGATGCCCGCTGTTCCGCCAGACGACTCGGTGCCCGCAGTCTTGCCAGACGACTCGGTGCCCGCAGTCTTGCCAAGCGACTCGGTGCCCGCAGTCTTGCCAGACGACTCGGTGCCCGCAGTTCCGCCAGTTGACTCGGTGCCCGCAGTTCCGCCAGTTGACTCGATGCCCGCAGTCTTGCCAGACGACTCGGTGCCCGCAGTTCCAGCCAGTTGACTCGATGCCCGCTGTTCCGCCAGACGACTCGGGTGCCCGCAGTCTTGCCAGACGACTCGGTGCCCGCAGTCTTGCCAGACGACTCGGTGCCCGCAGTCTTGCCAGACGACTCGTGCCCGCAGTCTTGCCAGACGACTCGGTGCCCACAGTCTTGCCAGTTGACTCGGTGCCCGCAGTTCCGCCAGTTGACTCGATTGCCCGCTGTTCCGGTGACGAATCGTCCCCAGCCAACTCAGTGCCCGCAGTCTGCCAGACAACTCGGTGCCTGCAGTCTTCCGCCAGTTGACTCGATGCCCGCTGTTCCGCCAGTTGACTCGATGCCCGCTCTTGCGCCAGACGACTCGGTGCCCGCAGTCTTGCCAGACGACTTGCAGTCTTTGCCAGATGACTCGGTGCCCGCAGTCTTGCCAGACGACTCGGTGCCCGCAGTCTTGCCAGACGACTCGGTGCCCCTGCAGTTCCGCCAGTTGACTCGGTGCCCACAGTCTTGCCAGACGACTCGGTGCCCGCAGTTCCGCCAGTTCACTCGTGCCCGCAGTCTGTTCCGAACCAGTTGACTCGGTGCCCGCAGTCTTGCCAGACGACTCGGTGCCCGCAGTCTTGCCAGACGACTCGGTGCCCACTGTCGTGCCTGGTGACTCGGTGCCCGCCGCTCCGCCTGGGGGGGCCCAAGACCTGTCGCTCCGCCTAAGGTCCGGCGCCCGCCGCTCCGCCTGGGGGCCCGAGACCTGTCGCTCCGCCTGGGGGGTCCGGCGCCCACCGCTCCTCCTGGGGGCCCGGAGACCTGTCGCTCCCGCCTGGGGGCCCGATCCGCCTGCTCCCCGCCTGGGGGCCCGATGCCTGTGGCCCCTCCTGGGGGCCCGATGCCTGTCGCCCCTCCTGGGGGCCCGATGCCTGTTGCCCCTCGCTTGGGGGCCCGATGCCTGTCGCCCCGCCTGGGGGCCCGATGCCTGTCGCCCCTCCTGGGGGCCCGGCGCCCGCCGCTCCACCGGGGGCCCGGTGCCTGTCGCCCCGCCTGGGGGCCTGATGCCTGTCGCCCCGCCTGGGGGCCCGGTGCCTGCTGCTTCACCTGGTAATCCGATGTGCCTCTGCCCGGAGTCCAGCCCGATGTGCCTCTGCCCGGAGTCCAGCCCGATGTGCCTCTGCCCGGAGTCCAGCCCGATGTGCCTCTGCCCGGAGTCCAGCCCGGTGTGCCTCTGCCCGGTGTGCCTCTGCCCGTGTGTGCCGCTGCCCGTGTGGAGTCCTGCCCGGTGTGCCGCTGCCCAGAGTCCTGCCCGGTTGTGTGCCAGTCTTTGATATCCCGCCAGTTACCAGACCCGGGCGGTGGAACATTTTGCCCAGCTAGGACTGTTTGGAGCGTCCTGAGGCCGCTCCTTGAGGGGGGGGGGGTACTGTCAGGAATGGACTGGCCAGCAATAGTGGGACTCACCTGCCTTGTGAGCTGCAGTACCAGGGCTGGCCAGCGGGTGCTCCCAGCAATCAGAGACTCAACCTTGCAGCCAGTCAAACACCTGGAACTAATTATACTGGTGTATTTAAAGGGACATTCAGACCTGCAGACTCTGCCTTGGTGTTGTGTTTTTCCTGGGCCCTGTATCTTGTTCCTGCATGCCCTGCTCCTGTTCCTGTTCCTGTCTTGTTGCTGACCCGGCTTGATTCTGACCTCTGCTGACTTCTCCTGTTCTGATCCCTGGCTTTGACCCCAACCATTCTCTGCCTGACCCCCTGTACCTACCTGCCTGTTAGTTGCTGTACCCTGCTCGTGACCTGACTATTCTCCGCTTGCTCCCCCTGTACCTACCTGCCCGATTGATATTGACCCGGCCTGCCTGACGACGCTTGCACTGTATGTACTGTTATCTGTGGGGTGGTTTGGTTTGGTTCATTTGCACTGTGTTATGTTTTAGTATTGAACTGCGTTTATGTTTGTATTGTTAGTGTTAATAAATTGTTTATAACTTATCTGAAGTCTGCGTTTCCCTGCGTCAGTCACACACCTCTGGTCATACCCGGGAGCCCTGACACAAGACATACTCTTCTCCCAGGGACAGCTCCACGTTATCATCAGACCACCAGACAAGAAATATCCCAGGGACAGCTCCATGTTATCATCAGACCACCAGATCAGAAGCATCAGAGGTCGGGGGAAATCTCCACCTTAGGGGCTCGCATATCACGAGCCAGACACAAATAGGTACTGATAGTGTAGTAATCTTTATTAAAGCTCTAGCAAAAAACATAGTTGAAAAGCACTTACATGAATATAAGAGCAGGTAAAATGGCCGCCGGCCTTCCTTGCAACCGTTTGGT